ATGTCAAGAAAAAGTAATATAATGTTATATTAGCTTGGGAACCCCTCTCAGCATCATAATAATTCAGTCTTTTTTTTTTAACAAAAAATGGTGTGTCTTTTATTTCCTAGGAATATCTGAGTACTGCAGTGTTTTATGAAAAAGTATTTTTTCAGTATGATCCAAACTGTTCCATGAAGCTCAGAAACATTTATTTAAATTAATTAAATATTATTTACACTCGCACAAAAACATTTGGTAACCCCTCTCAGCATTATAATAATTCACTCTGTTTTCACCAAAAAAGATGACAGTGGTATGTCTTTTATTTTCTAGGAATATCTGAGTACTGCTGTGTTTTCCATACAAAGATTTTTAGTGAAGCAGTATTTACTTGTATGAAATTTAATGTAAAAACCTGCTGTGCAAAAAATTGGGTACATGCCAAAATTAGCTTGTTAAGTCTTAAACTTTAAATACAGGTGTGTCCAATCATAAGAAAAGGTATTTAAGGTGGCACATGACAAGTTGTGCTTCTCTTTGCCTCTCCTCTGAAGAGTGACAGCATTGGATCGTCAAAGCAACTCTCAAAGGATCTGAAAACAAAGATTGTTCAGGGGAGGCTTGTATGCAAAAGCTCATTTAGATAAGCCAGATTCATTTAGGAAGAAAGAGCTTTGGACTGATGAAATAATAATTGAGTATTTTGGTCATAACAAAAAGCACTTTGCATAGTGGAAGGAAACACTGCATTCCAAGAAAAACGTCTGCTACCCACTGTCAAATTTGGTGGAGGCTCCATCATTCTTTGGAGCTAGTTCAAGGACTGGGGCCCTTGTTGAAGTCCAGGGTCGGATGAAGTCAACCCAGTATCAACAAATTCTTCAGGATAATGTTCAAGCATCACTCACAGAGTTGAAGTTTGTGGTGTTGGACATTCCAACAAGACCCAAAACACAGTTGGAAATCTACAAAGGCATCATGCAGAGGGAGAAGTACAATGTTGTGGAATGGTCATCACTGTCTTCTGACCTGAAATGTAATAGAAAATAGGTGGGATGATTTGAAGCAGGCTGTCAATACCTGGCTGACATCAGATTTAAATGAAGTGGAGAGATTTTGTAAGGAAGAAATAAACATAATTCCATCCAGAAGAAAGGTTCCCAAATGCTTTCATATGACTGTATGTGGCACCAAATCACAAAAGCAGTTTACACTTTAAATTGTTAAATAAAGACTAGAATAACAGAGAAATTCCCAACAATCAGATAACCCCCTCTGAGCAAGCACGTGGCACGTGGTGGGAAGAAAAAACTCACTTTTAATGGGAAGAAACCTCTGGCAGATCCATGTTCAGGGAGGCGCAGCCGTCTGCAGTGACTGATTGGAGGTGGTGGGACAAAAGACACACTGTAGAAGAGAGAAAAACGTGGTAAACACATAGTGAGTAAAAAAAAAGTCAATCGAAGACAAAACAAAAACACAACAAATACAAACACACACAGAGCATGCATTGTAATGTATAATAACTCTGACAGTTTCTTTTAATAAAATGTAAAAAAATCAAATACTGATCAAATACTGATGATTCAACAAATCATCAGTATTTGCCCTGTGACCATTTAATATTAGGAATCAATATTCTTTCAAATCTATTAAAATCACATCCAGAAGAGGGCGCTGCTGGTGCTACGCTCCCTCGGTTTTCCTCAGCGGGGCCCAGAAACTAGTGATGGGCAGATGAAGCTTCATGAAGCACTGAAGCTTTTCATCCAATTGGTTCACCCCAATATTATGAAAATACATCTTCTGTGAACTTTACATACCTTGTTGGGAGGAATAAAATCAAAATGTTCCCACACAGGGGAGGACATCCTCCTCTTCTTAGCTGGCTCCATTCTCTCCTGACTTTCTCTCCTCACTCTCATAAACCTCCAAACTGTCTCCAAACTCTCACTAACCGCAACTCTCCATCAAACACCCATATTTTGAATGAAGTCTGAGGGGTTTATATCGCTGTCATAGCTCGCGGCAAAGTTCGAACCGCTTCATGAACCAGTCACGTGGTACAGCCGGGCAGCGAGGCTTCGGACGTCATCATTTTCAGCTCCTCCCATAAATGAAGCAAGCCTCGATACGCGCATCGCGGAAACGCCCCCTAAATTACTCGACACAAGCTTTGAAGCCTCCATACAGAACGTCACGTCACTACCAGAAACAAGCATGGCGGCTTCCAGTGTTTTCCGACCAGGCTTGTTCAACCATAAAGTTGCAATAGTGACGGGTGGAGGCACCGGGATCGGTAAAGCTATCTCTGCGGAGCTGCTGGAGCTGGGTGAGTGAGTTCTAATAGTTGTTGTAGCGCAAAGAGTCTGAAGTGAGGAGCAGCTGAGTGACAGCAAGTGAACTTCGACACAGTTACAAACAAGTCTGTAAGAGTCGCACCAGTGACCGCGGTCAAGTGCGCGCAGGGACACTGTGAAAGTGTGGCTGTGAGTGTTCGCTAACAGCTGGAAACACCAAACATCTGGTGGCTGTCAGTGTTGTTTCACAGTAAATTGACTCGAAGCTTTATTTTGGAAGGTGCTGTAATTGTTTTTCGTGGCTCACTTGTTGGTCTTCAGGCTGCAGTGTGGTGATCTCCAGCAGAAAGGCAGACAGGCTGGAGGCAGCAGCTCGGGAGATGAGACAGAAAATCCCTCCCTCCAGTCCTGCAAGTGTCACTGCTCTGCCCTGTAACATCCGCAGCGAGGAGGAGGTGAGCAGCTCTGCATCTGCTGCTCGTTTCAGTGTGTAAGTGGCTGATTTTCTTTTTGTCTTTCTGTCATTTGAAGGTGAAGGCTCTTGTGTCATCAGTGCTGAAGCGGTATGGCCGTATAGACTTTCTGGTGAACAACGGAGGAGGTCAGTTCAGGAGCCCTGCAGAAGACATGTCCTCTAAGGGCTGGAAGGCTGTGGTAGACACCAACCTGACAGGAACCTTCCACTGCTGCAAGGAGGGTGAGCCGGGCACAGATAACACAGGCTTTGGTGTTTGTGGTTTGGTCTCTCAGCGTGACCGTCGTTGTTTTCCCCTCCAGTCTACACAGCATGGATGAAGGAGCACGGAGGCGCCATCGTCAGCATCATTGCCAACATGTGGAACGGCTTTCCGGGCATGGCGTAAGAACAGTTTCCCCCATTATATACACACGAATGTGCAAAGTCACATAGTTGGTTTTTTTTTAAAAATTGCCTGCTGCGTGGTGTGTCTCCTCCTCCCCGACAGCCACACAGGAGCAGCGAGGGCAGCGGTGGATAACTTAACTAAGAGTCTCGCCATCGAGTGGGCAGCCTCGGGGGTCCGAATCAACGCTCTTGCACCTGTGCGTACAGCTCAGCACGTAATCCGTTTTGTTTCAGTTTTTCAAGATGCGTATGAATTTCATCTCTCTGTTTGGCTGCAGGGTACAATCTTTTCCAAAACAGCGATGGAGAACTATAAAGAGTACGGACCACATCTTTTCAAGATGTCCGTTCCATTCACTCCTGCGAAGAGGCTGGGAGTGCCCGAAGAGGTTTGCAACCCAGTTCCCAGTTTTGTTAGAGGAAAAAAGAGTCTCCTGAAAATTCCCCTTAGTGTTGTTAAAAAAAAAAAAATGAAGTCAGACCACAAAGGTCTCACAGTGCTCCATAAACAATATTAGAGGATATAAAGAAGTAGTTATGAAGCCATACAATAGAAGGAGAAAGGTTAAAGCACAACTGTACTGAACAATTTATGAATTGCCGTCTTTGTCCAGGTGTCATCTGCAGTGTGTTTCCTGCTCTCTCCTGCTGCTTCCTACATTTCTGGAGCCACGTTGAAGGTCGATGCGGGACAAAGTTTGTATAAGTCCATGTGGGAGATACCGAGTACGTATAGCTCTCTAACACAACTGCACTGTAGTCTTCCCAGTATATGTTAGATTTAGTACGAGGAGCTAAATTCTTGTGTTTGTCTCCAGACCACAGTGCATGGCCTGAAGCTCCAGAGGGGGAGAACCTGGATGCTCTGAATGAACTGGTCAACCCAAAAAGCAAACTCTGATTCACTCATGGGACGTTCAAGAGCACAAAATCCCCATATACAGAAAGTCTGTATATGTAGTGTGTGACTGATTGTTAAGAATTTGCACATAATTGTATGTAATTAATAGTACGAGAAGTGTCCAGAGGTAAAGATTTGTAACATGCAAACTTTTGAAATGTACATATCATTTTTCTCTCCAATTCTCTTGTCAACAAGTCTGTGAGTAAAATTTAATAAAACTGTAAAACAGAACAATATAATTTTCTTTTTTCATTTAACATCTCTGTGTCTGTTTTGAACTAATTATCTCATAAAAAAGTCTAAAAAGATGTCTGATCATATATTGAACAGATGGAAGGAAAAATATTTTATGCCATATTTAGGAAATTCTTTTCTTACAGCAGTTGACAGGAATATGAAATGATATTACTACTAATAATGATAATATATGGAAATTGATTTTCTGCCTGGTAGACATTTTGTATTATAGAAGGTTACAGCATGTGGTATCAAACGTTTCCTGCATCTGTTCTTGATTAATTGTGTTAAATGCACTTGAGAAACCAAAGAATGTGATCCTCGCTATATAGATAGCATGTATATGATTACAAACGGCTCTCACAGTTTTGGCCTTTGTGTGTACAGACATTTTTTCTCCTGTGGTTTCAGACCATCTAATCATTTGCAAATGAAATGTCTATCTTGCAGCTGGCTGCCAGGAATACAAAAAGACATTCAGACGATAGTAATTGTTTCAACATGGTAACACCGCATGTTAATAATAATAAGTGTCATTAGGCGTAAATATATTTACATTGTGAATTTATGTAGTTGTTCTGTGTTTGATGTTGAAAATCAATCATATCTTTATAATTAAATAACGTTATTTTGTTGATCACGGGCACCGAACTAAAAAAAACAGCGTGTTCTTTAAAAGTGAAAAAAGCGTTACGGAGTTTTGTCCCTAATGCCGTGCCATAATTTGCCGTATTCCTGCGTCAACTGTCGTAACAATTATCTCAGCAGCAGAGGTCACAACAATTGTTCAGGTACCGGATTTATTCCTCTTTAAAATCTTCGGTGTTTCTGTATTACAGTCGTTTGTGCTTCTTTCTCACACCAGGTGATAGGAAAGCAATATTTTTACCAGGAAAGAGGCGTTTGAAAATAAATGTTAGAAGAATTGCAAACAGAAATGCATTGCTAACGTAATGCTAGCCTCCTTGTATGTGTGAAGTTGACGTTTAATTGACATATTATCCTCTAATAGGTCGGTGGGTTTAACCAGACAGGCTACACAGTAATAATGTTGACTATTTAAAGGGAGTTAATCGCTGATAACTTTGTTCGAGGAAGTGTAAATAGCGAGGTTAACATTTTTGTGTTTGTGTCGTTTAGCCTAGCAGCAAATATGGCTTGTGGGACAGAATAAAGACACGGCACTTAAACACATCTTTAATAATTCGGAATTTACTCGATAGTCGTTACAGTCACTAGATTTTATCCTGATGATTCTCGCGCTTTTGTTTCCTTTGTTAAATAAGTCGATAGTGCATAATAATTTTAGTGTGCAATGTAAATAAAGCTTAAATTTTATGACTAACTTTTTAACTAGAGCTAAGCACCCTAAAGGGGATGGATAGACAGATATTTTATTGATCCCACAGGGGACATGTTTGTGTTACAGCAGCAGGTTATATAATAAAAATAGTAAAGTCTACAATAAATAAACAGCATAGGGAAAGTAACACTGCCACAAGCACACAGTGAGCCTTATAGTATGAGATTTTATGTAAAATTTTATTTATACAACAGTGATTAAAAAAACCAATAACAAAAAATTAGGTTAAGTGGATTTTTATTCCTGACAGGCGTGTTCACCTGTCACAGACAGAAAGAGTTACTGTACAGTTTCACAGAGAATGACAGGACTCATTTCCTTAAGCTTATTTGTGGCTTTCATGTAATCATCCTTTGAATACATTAGCCATTTGCATGATTACACCCAGATACCAGAAATAAGTTGCAGATTTGGCTACAATGAACTTCGTCCTGTTGTTTTAAAATAAAAGTTCCTCTGTTTGAACATGTTTGTATTAAGCGAGCTGCTGCCATTTGCTGAACCTACTGAAAGTGAGCGTGTTTCATTAAGTAAAACACAGATGACACAAGAAGCAAAACAAAGTCTGCCAGTAAGGTGAAGGTTTAAAAAATGGCCTGTTTGCTTATGTTTCCAGTATGGGAGGTGACCACGGCCACAGCAAGCTCTCCATGCCAGATTGGCGACAGTGGAAGACACAGGGAACGCCGCTGGAGTTCACACAGCAGAGGCTGGCTGCACGGGGTCTGAAGGACCCATGGGCACGGTCAGTATTTTTGCCCACGTATGATATATTTCTGACATCTCCTTATATTCTGTGTGATCTGACACTGCTGCCCGTCTTTCTTCTCTGTCACTTTCCCTTTCTCTGCAGCAACGAGGCGTGGAGGTATTCAGGCGGCTTCGCTCGTGCTGTGACTCTGTCAGAAGTTCTGCTGAGAGGATTCAAGTGGGGCTTTGCTGCCTTTACTGTAGCTCTGGCTATAGAGTACACCATGTTCCCTCCAAAGAAGGGTGGCCACTAATGTTCATCATTGCCCCTCAACCCCAGAGCATATGTAATGGAATCTAATTATATTCTGTGTTTTCTCTAGATTAAATATCTTTGTGATCACACAAGGCTTCTTAAGTGTATTCAATTAGAATTAATCAACATTTTGCATTAAGGTTTTATCGATACTGATGTTTTATCAAAACATCCTTTAAACCGTGATGAGAATACAATTACAACATCACAGTACTTCCAGTAAAAAAACTGTCCTTACTCCTGCTTCCACTTTCGTCTCAGTTTACGGAAGCACAGCTTCATACATTTTGCTGTCAGCATTACAAAGACAAGCACCACAGTAGTTAGCAGCGCTATTACATCCAGGCTGAAGTACTGGAACCAGTAGAGTTCATGGAGAGCCGATTTGAGATGCTTCGCCCCTTTATGCCGCATCACAAATTCTGTCCAATACACTGAAAGCTCAAGCGGGTCCGACGGCCGATCATTATGAAGATCTGACAGCTTCTTCACGTTCTCTTTATACCTGAAAACACAGATAAATGGGCAGTTGTTTTTTTTTTAAATGACAGTCAGCTGAGTTAGATCATATGTAAAGTTCTTTCAAGAACAGATGGTACAGTGGTTCAGTGTTTGAAGGTTTGTTAGAGTTTTTTATTTTTTGCAATTAATGTGACCACCATCAAGTTTAACACAAGTCCTAAAATTAGATAATGTGATGTGGACCCAATTGAACCTTTTATTTACTTAAGAAAAAGTCACTCATTGTATACCTGTGAGGGGGAAAGTAAAAGCCTGCACCCTGTTTTAGTTTAAAGCACAGGGATCTGATATTCACTCAGAAATACACTGAGGCACAAATAAAGGACATTTCTGAGGACATCAGTAAAAGAGTTTCTGATGCTGAGGCTGGAAAAAATGATAAAAGTCAGACTGTGCTAATACAGGAAATTCAGAGCCAGTGTTACACTCTTTGGTGTGCGTGACCACCAAGGAGTCACCCTCATGTAGCTGCAATCATCACTACACATAGAATAGTCATTTGTGAAATGA